CACCCCCTTTTAAAACCCCCTTTCCTCCGCGGCCCCTGCACTCTTTGTGAATGAGGGCAGGGAACGCGGCCCTTCCCCCGCCCAGGAGCCACGCCAGACCGCCGCACTCAGAGGACTGTTTGTTAATAGTCCAATTAGATAATTGCCATCTTTCACTCCTTTTGCTCCGCATTTCCCATAAAGGAATGAATGGGGAGAGCGGCGTGGAGAGGGCTTCTGCCCCGGCAAGGTGACGAGAAGGGCTGGAGCATGCTCCTTGCACAAGGCCATGCGCTTGAATTGAATCATTGTAGCCTAATCAATGCTCTTATTGGATTACTGGCTGTTGCTTTTCTCAAAGATATTGTAGCAGAGACAATGAAATAGCTAGGGGAAAACTTTTTTTTTCAGCAGATCTCACATTTGAGATTTTCCTCTCTCTCTCTCTCTCTCTCTCTCTCTCTCTCTCTCCCTCCCTCTCTCTCCCTCTCTCTCTCTCTCTCCCTCTCTCCTGCTGGACTCTCCGAGTACAAAGCTGCCCTTTGAATGGGCTGCCTCTGGGCGGCTGGAGGTGCAGACATGAAAAAATCCAACTGGAACTAAACGAAGAGAGGTGGCAGTTTAAGATGGCTGTCAGCGTGGAGGTGTGCTAAGGAGTTCTTGGAGAGAAACGTTGGCTTTTTTTGAGTGTGGGGGAGATACTTTTGGGAAAAACTTTTTCTCCTCCCCACGCAGAGGCAACTGCTTTCTTCTGCTGCAGAGTGTGTGAGGGGCCACCCCCTCCCTTCAGCTCTGTCTGGCGAGTGTGGAGAAAACCCCTCTAGCCAATATGTGAGCGGGAGGGTCAAAGGCAAAGGGAAAGTTAATAATGCCTGCTAATGGTACTAACAATTCAGGATGAATCTTGTCAAAAGTTTTTCTGGAAGTGTAGGTCTTTGATTGTGTGTTTCCTGAAAGCAAGACCAATCATTTCCGTTTATTCACTGGCTAAAACCCTACTTGATTGGGGACAAGGACAGAAACCATCCATTACGATCTGATATATTATCCAAACAATTTAGTGTATTCATGAGGTAACCGAAACGTGGGGGCTGCGAAATTACCCGTAATCAATTGCAACAGCGAGTGTGCGTCCCCCCGGGTGTCGGACAACTACAACTCGCCGGCTCAGTAGCGGGCGGGAGCCGAAGCATTTCGGAGTTGCGCTGTTCGCTACCTGATCGCCAGGCTGGGGACATTGGACGTGCTCAGAGGACGCGGGCTCTGACGAGGCGGCCTCGCCGCTGCTCCACCGGGATCCTGGACTAGACCGACCGTCTCTCCGCCAGCGCGCCACTCTCCGGTCGCCGCTGACCCGCCCGCGGCCACCGAAGCCGCCCCGCAGGGACATTCATTCTCGAAGCCCGCCAGAGCTTAGGGGCTGCGTTGTAGGGGTTTTGTCTCCCTTTACCTTTTTATTTTTTCCTTTCTCCTTTTTTCTTCTTTTTTTGTGTTGTTTTTGCCTATGTTCGGGAAACCAGACAAAATGGACGTCCGGTGCCACTCGGACACCGAGGCCGCCCGGGTCTCGAAGAACGCACACAAGGAGAGCCGAGAGATCAAGGGCGCCGAGGGGAACCTCCCAGCCGCCTTCCTCAAGGAGCCGCAGGGCGCCTTTTCGGCGTCCGGCGCTGCGGAAGATTGTAACAAAAGTAAATCCAATTCGGCAGCCGACCCGGATTACTGCCGCCGGATCCTAGTCCGAGGTAGGGATGGGCAGGGCAGGGCTGTGGAGCGCGTTCTTTGGGGTCGACCCCCGGGCGGGAGCTGCTTTCCGCCGCCGACCGGGGAGCGGGTACCGGCTAGGACTTCGGAGAAAGTTGATGGTCTTCCCCTCCCCAGGCCGGCCTCCGGAGATTTAAAATCCTGGGGCTCACCTGGGCGCACTCTCCAGGGGCCTGACCCTCCAAGCCCAAGGGGCCCCTCCGGCCCCGCTGCAGGGAGAGCCGAAGGGCTGCGTGGACTGGGCCGGCCACCAGGCTGCGGCCTCCGACCCGGAGAAGGAGCAGGGAACTCCGGAGGACGTGTGCGCGCCCTGCGGTCTGGAG